AGGTGGGCGCTCCAGAGCTCTCCGGGAGGTGTGCACTCCAGCTGCAGGTGTGCGATCCAGCGGCAAGTGTGCGCGCCAGCTGCAGGTGGGCGCTCCAGAGCTCTCCGGGAGGTGTGCACTCCAGCTGCAGGTGTGCGATCCAGCGGCAGGCGTGCGATCCAGCGGCAGGTGGGCGCTCCAGAGCTCTCCGGGAGGTGTGCACTCCAGCTGCAGGTGTGCGATCCAGCAGGACCCGGAGAGCGTCTGCGGCACCCTGAGAACACTGAGCTGAGGAGGAGTCTGAGCTGCCTCTGAGGAAAGATGGGGTGATGCAGAGGTGTGGAAGGACCGGCTGGGATAGACTGCATAAGAAAGCCTGGACAGCAGGACTCAGCTGTGGTAAACCCCAGCGTGGGACGACAGAACTACAAGTCGGAGGCAGGTGGGACAGAGTGGAAAAAAGTGACTAAGGAGCCAAAGATCACTTTCTGGCGTTCTTAGCCTTTATTTACTTCTGATTCGAGCAACACCTGTGCACAGTAAAACAGTCGGAAAATGGAAATGAATAAGAAGCGGTGCTCATAATCCTGGGATCACTCAGGAACAGCAATGAGCGTTGTGCATCCTGTATTTGAGGATGAGAGGAGAGTGGGCTCCACGTTTTCGCCACGATGGAATAATTTACCCTCTAGCTGGCAGCTGCGTCCAATCAGCTTTCTGGCAAACTGGGAGAATTCAGTGGTGTTACTGGGGACAGAGAACCCCTAAAAATGTTTCTCATGTTTGTCTTTCCTGAACTTCCAGCTCTGTGCTCTGCTGGTGATTTCAGTCACCTTATCTTGAAAGGGTGCCCAGCTTTGGCAGGTGCTTTGCTTTCCAATTCCAGAAATTAGATCTGGTTCTGTCCTGCACTGACCTACTCTGACCCCTAGGTGAGCGGGCTGTGGGGAAGAGGCAGGGAATTCCCCTGAAATTTTGAAACTCAAATATTCCCTTTTCTCACCTCAGCCTCTTGGCATTTCTGCCTCACCTGGACTTCGGGGTGTGAATTCCTCCAGTTTTCCTGTCCCTCTGCTTTCTCACTCTCACCTTTGATTCCCTTTGGTCCTGGCCCTGACTTTTACCTGCCATTTGTCTTAGCTATCACACTTAAATCGCTCAGTGCTGTTGGAGGAAAGCAAGGAGGATACAAACTGGTGCCACCACAGACGTGCGTTCTCCGAGCTCAGACAGGCCATCACTGCCAGCCACCGGTATTTTTACTTGGTCTCCTGTTCCCCTGAATAATTACAAATGACATTCTTGTGTCGTGCAGTGCCAGAAGATGAATGGGACGTCCTCCTCCAGCTCTGCCGGCTGTCTCAGCCATTCCCCCAGCTTCTTTAGAAAGCTGCTCCATCCACCACCGTCTCTCCTACGTCTTCAACCCCTGGCTCCCTAGTGATGAATAAAACTTTCATCAGCCTGTTTCCCAACTTGCACTACCAGTTATCATCCAGTTGCACACTTTCCTTCTGAGCCAAACATTTGTTTAGGGACTATTTCCAACATACTTAAACAGTGCAGATAATCCTGTCACAAACAAGGATTTAACAAATGCTGACATTTTGCTATATTTCACTCAGGCTTTTTCTTTATAGAAAGAAAATGCCTCTGGTTAAAAGCTGGAAAAACTCGTACAATAACTGTTACTATTTCCAACCCTCCATTCACTTCTCAATCAGTGGTAATATGGATTCTGCCCCACCCTGAAACTACTCTAGCTGAAATCATTCGTGCCTTTCATCTAAGAGGTAGGTGCCACCCATGGTTCAATTCCCGGACCTCAGCCCTTTGAAAACAACGTTAAATCAGTGTCTTTCCTATTGCTGGGGTCATCTAATTTAGTGCATCAATACCGGCATTTAAAAAAAATAATACAAAGTGCAAATTGCTTAATAAATTTTTCATTTCAATTATAAATAATATAATGTGTATATTGGGTTACACTGAAAAATGTATTTCTTATGTGAGTTGTGCCCAAAACATTTGAAAGACATTGTTCTAAATTACTGGTTTCAAAGTTTTGTTTGCATGAATTTATCACTTTAAGTTTAATTAGCTGCAGAGGATTTCAGATGAATTGTAAACATTAGCATTGGTAAATAAAACCTTTAAAAAGTCCTATGGAGTGAGTCAATGCCTGCCATCATCCCTTTAAAAAATAAATGAACGAGCTTTCTTTAATAGTTGGAAATTTTGTATCATATCATTTTCTCTTTAAACTCAGAATTCCATTCTACTTCCCTCACAAGATAAAATGTAATACAGATGTATTTTTATACTATATAGAATGTCTATAATACATCTCTGCAATAAAAATACGTATAAAAGTTGAAACTAAATTTTAAAAAACTTTCTGTGACTATGAGGCTCTAGTGTTAAAAAATTATCTTCATTGCATTATCAATATAATTATCAGTATACAATTGATCAAATACAGTACACATTTTGATAAACATAAAAGTTAAATTTTAGCTTTAGAAATGCAACTCTTAATGAGACTGAGCATTTATTTTTTCAATTAATTCATATGTCCATGAATGAACATCATTGTTGCTAGAATGAGACAGGTTTAGTGTTGCTTTGCCTCCCACAGATCTGTCACCCTTTTTCCCCTGGGTGACAGGACTGCCAAAGATTACTCAAAGCCAATCTCTTCTGAGCAGTGAGAAGACCCGAAAGGTGTTAATCTCCCAGAGCCCTCAGAAGAGAGGCATTCCTTCCATTTGGGAAATTAACCACGAATTGGGGTTCTCTTCCCACATTTATTCTCCACACCAGGAAGTTATAGGAAGAGAACATAGGTGGGGTTTTTGCTAAGTAGTTTAACAAGTTTAACAAGAGAAGCTGGTAACATTCAGTAAGACAAGCAAGGTGACATTCCATAATGCAATTTGCAAGAAGTTAAGTCGATCCACCAACAAAAGCTTAATCTTAGCAAACATTCTCTTCTTACAGCAATTTCCCAGTATCTTTACATATCAATCAGTAACCCATCTGTCTTTGAGCCAGCAACCTTGCTGTGTTACAATTCTTTATCTTACAACAGAGACTATAGCCTGGAGAAAATTTCCTGTCTTTTGCAAGGTTAATATTTGAAACTGCAAGACTTTGGAAAACCAGGCCCTGTGAAGTACATTTGCTTTATGTATACTCCACAGTTTAGCATCAATTCTATTTCTATTTTTCATTTTTATAGATGTTAGAGCTGACAACCTTTGTTTAAGTAATAAGGAGATTTCCATCAGATTTATTGAAGCAATGGAACTCAATTCTTTGAACTCCTTTAAAGTTCTATGCCAAATCACAAGGCAATTTACCACAAAGAATTTTTTTTAACTTTTAATTTTCATATAATTATTTAGATTTACACAAGAGTCACAAAGATAGTTAAAAGATTTTACTCTATACTTTTTAAAAAAAAAAATCTTTTGGTGGCCAGTACAGGGATCTCAACCTGTGACCTTGGGGTTATAAGGCTGCACTCTAACCAACTGGGCTAACTGGCCGGCCCTACCCTGTACATAACACAGCTTTCCCTAATGTTAACATCTTACATAACCAGGGTACATTGATCAAAACTAAGAATTGGGGTTGGCAGATTTTACCAGTTTTTCCACTAATGTCTTTTTTCTGTTTCAGGATCCAATCCAGGAAACCACATTATACTCGTCATGTCTCCTTGGTCTCCAATCTGTCGTTTTGTCAGTCTTCCTTGTCTTTCAGGAGTTTGACAGTTTTGCAGAATACTGGTCACATTTTCTAGAATGTCTCTTAATTTGGATTCAGCTGATGTTTTCTCTTGATTAAACTGGGGTTATGGATATTTGGGGAAAATACCACAGAGATGAAGTAGTCTTCTCATTGCATCCTATCAGGGGGTACATGACAGCAACACGACTTCTTACTGGTGATGTTAACCTTGACCACTTGGCTGAGGTGCTGTCTGTCTGCTAGTTTCTGTACTGTAAGAATTTCTCTTTTCTTTTTCTTCATTCTGTTGTTCAGAAGCAAGTCACTACGTCCAGCCCACACAATCCAGGGGATAGAAGATCATCAAAAAATTTGTAGCCATCTGCTAAAACCACCACAATAATTAATTAATATTTGGGGGGAAATACTTTGAGGGAAGGGTCCTGTTTTTCCTTAAAGTATCACCCACTGATTTTAGCATTTATCACCAACAATTTTTTAAATAATCTTTCAGCAGGTAACTCAATTAGGCCCTCCAATTTTGTTAAAAACAAATAACTGAGAAACAATCGGTAAATCAAAATATCTACATATTTCGAATTGTTGCGTCTGGTCCCCACAGGTTCAGACGCCCTGGGACAACATACCACAGTAAGATTAGATTGGTGACTGCAGGGAGGTAGCCTTTCCTAAGTGGGAGAAGAGTGTGTCCTTAGCAACTTTTTAGAAAATAGAATCGATGTAAACATTGATTTCTGGAAACTGTCCTGGCCCGAATACTTCCAGGTTTGTATTCTCAAGTTTGGGGCCCATGGGTCTGAATGACTCCACTTACTCCAGTGACTTCAGCTACCAGCTGCTGTCGACTTCTCAGGTTCTTCCCTTTCGTCCGTGCCTGTCCCTTCGCTAAGCGCCGAAGTTGGCTGAGCTCTGGGTCCTCGCGCACCTGCCCCCGCACCTGCTCCCGCGCGCACCGTCCAGCGCGCACCCTGCCCGCGTAGCCTGGCCTCCGGAATCAGACTCCAGATCCCCATCCCTACAGGCCATTTGGAAACGTGTTCAAGGTGGCAGATCACAGGACGGCACAACAAATCCCACATCTGGGGCGGGGGGGCGACGGCTGTCTTTCTGGAACGTTGCGAGGACAACGCGGCGCGCCACGTCCGTGCGCAGCCAGCGCTCCAGGCGCCTCTTCCGCGCGGTGGTCGCTTCTCAGCCACGGAGTGCCCAGCGCTCATCCCTGACATGAATTAAGTCCTAGAGGAACCCAGCTAATAACCCCGCCTCCTGGCCCGCCTCCGCCTGCCCGACCCGGCCTTAAAGCGGGCCTGACGCGCGTATGCCTCAGGCAGGCGGTGGGCCCACCCAAAGGCCTTTACCATTTGAAGATTACAGTACCCGGCAGCGAATCGCGCGAGACGGAGATAGCATTCTCGCGAGAAGTCTGGGAGGCGGCAGTGATGGCGGCGGCGGGAACCGGACCCGGCCCGGGAGCGGGTGCCGGACCCGGCCCAGGAGCGGCCGCAAGTGCAACAGCGGCAGAAGACGGGGAGACGAAGCCGGTGGCAGCGGCAGCAGCCACTCCGGCCGGAGAGGGGACACCTTCTGCTCCGGCAACTGAGCCCAGTTCCGGAGAGGCTGAGAGCGGGTAAGACGTCCTGCGGCCGGAGGAGGATGCGGGAAGGGAGCCCGGCCCCCTCAGGATCCCGCGGCTCCCGGGGGCCCTCCTGCCCGCCCCCTGCGAACCTGCGGCCGGCGGCTTGCCCTGCCCCTCGGCGACGGTAATCGCGCGCGCCGCTGGGCCCGCCCCCTCTGGGCTGGGTCCCAGGCCACGCCCCTTGCACGCCGGGCGAGAGCGGGGTTCTGGTCCGGTCTCCGGCCTTGCACACGGGCGGCGGGCTGGGAGCTCACTCCTCTGTCAGGAGCCCCTCAGCTATCCCACAAAGAAACCACTTTGCCGTGCCAGACTGGAAGACGTAACGGTCCCTCTGGCAACAGAGTGGGAGACCTGCGTCTCCGTGACCCTCTCCCAGGACCAGCTCCAACCCACGTGGACCTGTGTGTTAGGGCCGATTAGGCTTCTCTGTGCACGCTGCGTGGGCCTGCGTCTGTCCTGGCCACACTATCCTAATACCTTGACAGTAACCCTGGGCATCTGAGAAACAGGCTCAGCCCAAAGAGCTGTAGGAGTGTGAAGTTCAGCTGTATTTTGATCATCTTCTTTGGGAATAGGCATTTTAAGGTTTGTTCCTTGAAAATTCTTACTTGAGTGCTTTCATTATGTTATAGGGATGCAAACTTGGTCGATGTAAGTGGTGGTTTGGAGACAGAATCCTCTAATGGAAAAGATACACTAGTAAGTATTTCTTTTTGGATGTTTGCAAAGCAAAACAGGGTTTGTTTTTAAATTTTTAAGCTAATCAAGAATACATTCAAGTCAACTAATTGGGTTTTCTAATTTTTCTGTGGACACAGGAAGGTGCTGGGGATACTTCAGAGGTGATGGATACTCAGGCGGGCTCCGTGGATGAAGAGAGTGGCCGGCAGTTGGGAGAGGTAGAGCTGCAATGTGGGATATGTACAAAATGGTTCACAGCGGACTCCTTTGGCATAGATACCTCGTGAGTACTTTTCATAGTCTTGTGAGGATCGCTTTGAATAGAGAAACGGTTGAATAGTTTGTAGGCAAAATACATACATAGTATTTCCTGTGTCTCCTAACCCCCGTTCAGTGAGTACGGTCTTGAATCAGGAATTGTTTTAATTCCCTTAGCATGTTTTCTGCTGAGGGCACAGCCCTCATAGGTACAAAGGTGGGTATTGTCCCTGCTTTGAATTTGCAACCTGGTTGGAAGACAAAACTGTGCAGTTACAAATCATTGTACAAATAAATTTGAGACAATATCATTTGAACCTTGTAATGGGTGTTTTGGATTTTTCAGAAAGAATTGTTGTATACGGTTGACAAAGCTTGTCAAAAATTTGAGATGACAGTGCTCTTCATGCCTGAGCCCTCTTTTTCCTTTCTCATTGCTTCTGACTCACTACTTTAGGTATCCTGTGTTCTCTCCTTAGTAAAACCTATTTCCAAACACATACTGCTTCTAATGAATCAAAATCATATTATGACTGAGAATGAAAGGCTTCTTTCCTTATTCTAGGAATTTGGTCAACAGCTAGCAGGTGAGCATTACTGACTCATTGTCTATTGGAATAACCCTACTGCTGGCTCTCTAATGTTCTTTACGGTCCATATTATACTAAAAAATTTAAATGAGACTATCTCAGTAAGGCTGCATTAATTGGGAAATTAGCCCCCTTGGATGGAGTAGTGAAGAAATACCTTCCTTTATAATTTATTGTATGCTTTCCAGTTAAAAGTTAAAGTGAGTTTTAGAAATGCTAATGTCCCAATTAACATGTGACTGGTGACCTAGGATAGAGTGTTTTAAAAAGAAAAAAATACTGAAGGATCAGGAAGAAAGAATGGATCTTGATAGAGAGATCTGTAGGAAAAACACTCTAGCAAGGCTGATCACTTAGAGTGGTGTGAAATTGGACCACTTTGGCCAAGAATTTGTTTGGATAGACAGAGCCTAGGAAAAGGCTGATCACTTAGAGTGGTGTGAAATTGGACCACTTTGGCCAAGAATTTGTTTGGATAGACAGAGCCTAGGAAAAGAAATTTATTAGAGAGGTGACTGGAAGGAATCCAGTTTGTACTTGAATTTGAGAAGTTCGTACCTGAAGCCCAGCTAGGTGGGATGGATTATCTTTTACAATTGAGATAAACAATGTGAGCTAGCGGGGTATGAAAATGGCTGCTCTGTACACCTGATTAAAATAACCATATACCTACCTATCTTTAGAAGGCTTTGTCTTCTACAACTGAGTTGATCACAACAGGCTGTTTAACAGAGAAGGGGTTCTAGGGAGAAGAGAAGGTGAGGGAACTTAGTCTTAACATTCCTAAGAATGTTTCTTAATGCCTTGAGTGGTGGTGATAGGTGGCAGACAGCACATACTCGGGAACCTAACCTTTGAGGAAACCCTGATCTCATTTCAGTAGAGTGCAAAATAAACCTGCCTTTATTTTTATTTCTTTTCTAACTTAAGCTGTTTATACTAAAGGTCTTTTGTTCTGTTAATTTCTCCTTTCCAAGACCGAGCTCTCCCTGTGCTTTCCCAGCTATCCAGCACAATCATCACCACGCTTCCCTTCTCAAATGTGTCAGTTCCTCTGTTTTGTCCTCCCTTTCTTCCATATTCAATTTCCCCCCTCCACTGACTTCTTCCTCTCTGCCTTTAAACAGGCAGGTATTCTCCTGCCTGAAGCTCACCTCTTACAAGGTTTTGTCTTTATGATATAGCCAGTCTTAGTGGTTAGAACTCCTCTCACCTCCTGCTCCCCTCCAAGCTTTACTGACTTTTTTCTTCCTGTACGCCTGCTTGTCCTTCCCATTTTTATTATCACTCTAGGCCAGGCTTTTTTTACCTTCTGCTGAGACTTCTACAAAAGCCTTCTATATATATATTCACTTTTTTCTAAACTCTTCCTCCTTCAGACCCATCCTGTCATTAAATTTATCAGTTAAAACCACAGGACTTCCCCTTCAAGGAGTTCCCATTACCCAAAGAAAAAATTCAGTCCCACCTGGCTTCCTGCCTTTCAATTCCACCTGTTTCCTACCTTTCAAGCCCTGACAAATCCTGTCTCAGACAAACGTGCTTACACCTGTTTGCCACCTGCTTGCGCTTTTTCATCTCTACACATAGTTCACTCATATTTCGCACTCATCTTTCCCAATCCAGTTCATAACTTGTATCTTTGAAAGTCTTCCCAACTTCTAAATTTGAAGTGACTACTTGGGTCATTTAAACATTCACATTTTTAGGGGCCGGCCCGGTGGTGCACTGCTATAATGTCCGGTACGGGGGGCAACACTGAGGGTTGCGATCCGTTGCCGGACACGGAAAAAGACAAAAAAAAAAAAATTCACATTTTTAATTCACCTTTTCATACATTTTGTCTGCCCTTTCCAACAATGTTAATTGGCACCTTAAAGAAATGTATATCTTAGACTACTTTGTCTTCTGCAGCTGACCTGGCATACTCTTTAGGTGCTCAGAAAAGAAACTAGCCTAGACAAGGTGCCAATGAGAACCTTCCAGATGCTGAATTGTCCATTATGGTGTATAATGTCTTATTAACTTTTTGTGACAGAAAAATCCAGGTATTTGTAAAACTACGAGCCCTGTTTTGGTTTTGATGACCTTTTTACATGTTAAGGGTGTGTTAATATGTTAATATGTTTATCTAACTTTCACTGAAGGGAAAGGATTACTGTTGATTTATGTCTCATAAAGACATATGTGTTCAGAAGTTCACTAATTTGTACAATTTGGCTGTTGTGCAGATCCTGTCTACCTTTCATGACCAACTACAGTTTTCATTGCAATGTATGCCATCATAGTGGGAATACCTATTTCCTCCGGAAGCAAGCAAGTAAGAACAAACTCTGGAGTGTTTTTAAATGATTGTGCCCACTGGGAAAGAAAAGGGATCTGGGCTTACCAGAATCAAGAGACCCTTGCCTAGTAGTTAGTAGAAGTTAAATTGGGATTTAGTTCTGAATAATTGCTGTTGCCTACTTCAGATCAAAT